GGGAGAGAGAGAGAGAGAGAGAGAGAGAGAGAGAGAGAGAGAGAGAGAGAGATGCATTGAAAATTGGCCCATAGAGTGAAGTGTTGGCCTGAAATGAAAGCCGTATTATATAAGAGCCGCGAATTGCGTCACAAATGAGTGCTTTTAATGCAAAACTATTATTGAAAGCCTTGTTTTGAGCGCATGTCTACTCTTTTCACACTATTATAACTCTTATGAAATCCATTTTTCCTTTCAATTCACGATTGAATTATGTTTTAAACAATTAATTCAATGATTCAATGATTTACCTGTAGTTAAGAATATTACACCAAATTTTGATTAAATTAATGTTCAAAACAAGAATTGTGTCAAAATTGATAAAACTATTGCTAGTCTTCAATGAAACCACTCTTACGTTCGCATCAATTGATAACACAATTGAAATGTAAGTTATTATTCATATATTTTTATCCACTTTTAAAACTATTGTAACATTTGATGTCTTGTTTTCCTCATTCATACTATAACCACATTCTCTATCCATTTGTTATTATTTATAATGAATTTAAAATTATACAAAATATTAATCAAATCCATACACTATTAACGACTGAATGTACAGAATATGATAATAGTGTCAAGAATTTGCAAAATATGCTAAAGAATGAGCAATGAGTGTGTATTCAGTGATTATTGAGTGCCTAATGATTATACAGCGATTGCACTGACATTGCATTGCATATCGTTTTATCCTTTTTATTATTTATTAATTATAAAAAACAATATTTTAGTGTAATATAAAAATATAAAGCTCTTGAACAGCTTGTTTATTATTAGCACATATTATGACTTTAATTGTCATTTAGTTTATGACTTTTGGATTTATATGAAATTTTAACACATCATACAAATTGTTATGATTAGTGACAATCCATTGTACGACTATTTTGACTGTTATTGACTTAAAAACCTGTTTTGAAAATACAATTATTAGTTTAATATTAGGTATATAATTAATTTTTTAATTAAATAAAATGATTGTATGTTTATAAACAAGGAATTGATGGGATGTCAAAACACACACACATTGTATGGTTAATACGAAATGATTTCCAATACATATTTAGGTTATAAACCATAATTTATCGCATATACGGTTCAGTTCATTCACATACACTCTGCCATTAATTAATTAATATAAATACAATAAATTTTAAAATTCATAATGAAAACAAACATGGTATAAATTGATCAATAAATTACAAATATATGATTGTGTTTTCAACAGAATCTAAATTTGCAAAAAAAATGTCAAATTTAATAGAAGAAGAGGTGAACGAAAATCTGCTAAATAGTGAGCAAAAAAATGTAAGAATTGCTGATAAGTGTTGAAATATGTGTGCATTTGAATTTTGAATACAATTTTTACAAACTATTGACTTTTTGATATATAGTCTAAGAAATGTGTGCCTATAAGACAAGATCCGTCATCTTCTTTGTTGCAATGGCCAGAGGTGTCCGAAGAGGTGGACACGAATATAGAGTTGCAAACATTGCATCAAAACCAAGAGTCGACGGCCAGTGATATGTTATTCCCAAACGAGTCGTTAATGTCTGATAGATTGAGATCAGGAATGGACTCAACGCCAGAATCGAGTGATAAAAGAATTGCAGCTCAAGTCAAGAATGTTGTCTTCTCGTATGGAAGGGGCAAAAAGGCTGTCAATGCTCTCAATGGCATCACAATCAATGTTCCCGAAGGAAATATGTATGTATTATCTGTGAATGAGATAAGCAATACTTTAATGCATTGTATCATCTTTTCACTCATTTTTCTTTCATTTCTTTTCCTATTCACACGAATAGTGTTTTTCTTTTTTATCACTCTTTTTGTTCATTTTGTCATCATTTTGATGACATTTTTATCAAATAAATCATTTCTATTCACTAGTTATTCAATTCTGGGTCCGAGTGGTTGTGGGAAAACAACATTAGTTCACTGTCTGGTGGGTAGTCTGAAGCCGAGAAAAGGCACTGTTATAGTGTTTGGTGAACAGCCCGGCTCTTATGATTCATTAGTTCCCGGGCCAGGAGTGGGTTATATGCCTCAAGAGATCGGTCTCTTCCAGGAGTTTACAATTGAAGAGACGCTCACTTTCTTCGGCAGATTATATCGTCTGCCAAAAGTGCAGATTAAGAATAGCATTAGATTTCTTCTTCAATTCCTTGATCTTCCGGACAAAACCAGTTCTGTCGGTAAGTTTGGCATTCAATTCAATTTATTATATTATTCATAGTTATCATTGCGTTTATTAACGTAACCCCTTTTCCATGCCTTCCTTTTAATTGCATAAATGTTTCCCTCCCTTCCCTGCCTTTAAATAGTTGTGAGTTTTTACTAATAGTAATTTAAATAATTAATAATACTAATGACCATGGACATTAATTTAAAAATAGTTCTATAAAACTATGCAATGTTTTGATTTAAAATGAAGTCAATTAAAATGATTACAATTTGTATGCGAAGCCAAACTGAGCGGAGGTCAGAAGCGTAGGGTCTCATTAGCGGCAGCTCTGGTCCACAAACCACCGCTTCTGGTATTGGATGAGCCGACTGTAGGCATCGATCCAGTGCTTCGACAGAGCATTTGGAAACATTTGATAGCTTTAGCCAAAGACGGCATAACTGTTATAATAACGACTCACTATATCGAAGAGGCGAGGAATGCAAACATTGTTGCCTTCATTAGACAGGGAATGCTTCTCGAAGAGGGAAATCCCGAGACTCTCATCAAACGACAAAATCTCCACAATTTAGAGGACGTCTTCCTTAGATTATGCAATAATAAAGAGTCGGATCTTAACATCTATGACAAAAGTCAGGGTTTGAGCCAAAAAACACAAACAAATTCTAACGGAGAAAATTCGTTAAACGAAATCAAAATTGTTAACAATAATACTCTTCAGAAAACCAATTCATTAAAGCCGTCGAAAATATTAATGAAAAGAAACAAAATCGCCGATCATTTTGCCAGAAGTGAAGCGCTATTTCTCAAGAATGTGATCCGAATGTACCGTAATTTACCAGCTTTTATATTTACAGCTATAGTCCCAGCCGTTCAATGTAAGGCTATTTCTCATTAAACGAGATATCAATTAAACAATATATCATTTTTTAATAAACCATAATATGGTTCAATAGGTGCTCTATTTTTCTTATGTCTGGGTCGAGATCCCTATGACATACCGGTCGCTGTATTTAATGGAGAATTAAAGCCTAAATACAGTACAGGATTCCTTCAAAATATCGATAATTACACAATCACTCAAAAACAATACAATACTTTTGAAAGTGGATACGAATCGGTCAAAAATGGTGATAATAAGGCTCTCATATATATCGGCGCCAACTTTTCTAAAGCATTAGTGCAAAGAGGATTACAAGGATATGAGACCGACACCGAGACCATCGATATGAGCAGTATTAAGCTCTACCTCGATATGACCAGTCAGTGATATTGATATGAATTAATTGTTTAAACAATTACAATAAAAAATTAATTTTTAGGCCAATTCTCTGCCAACAAAATACGCCAAACACTCCACGAATCGTATCAAACGTTTGCGAAAGCAATCCTTAAAAGCAATGATATGCCAGAAGCCATGGCCGATCCGCCCATTCATGTAATTTGTATGCTTTTAATCAATATTATACGTGTTTTATTGATTTGGGTTTGCCTTACAGATTGAAGATCCAATACTTGGTACTCGTGACCCACCGGTTACACACTTTATGGCCCCGGGATTTATATTATCGCTCGCATTCTTCTGTGCGATCGCGACATCTGCTCTGAGTTTAGTTCTCGAACGCAAAGACGGTTTACTCGAGAGAAGCCTTGTTTCGGGTAAATATGAATTCATAATTGATGTGTTTGTTCGTCAATTCAATGTCTTTTTTGAATCAATTATTCATGAAAAGGTGTTCATCCAAACGAATACATATTATCGCATGTATTGACTCAGACAATGGTTGTCATTCTGCAGACCTTCTCAGTATTGATGATAGCGTTTTTAATCTTTGAGATTCCAAATCGTGGCTCAATATTATGGGTATCAGTGCTGATAGTAATGCAAGGCGTCTGTGGTATGGCTTACGGAATATTAATCTCCGCCATCACTAAAGAAGAGAACTTTACATTAATTCTATGCATGGGTTCTATGTTTCCACAATTTCTTCTCAGCGGTAAGTTATGAGAGAAAATACAATTGATTTGAAATGATATTAAAAGTTTGATTAACCGATTCAGGTGTGGTTTGGCCCTCTCGTGACCCACCGGTTACACACTTTATGGCCCCGGGATTTATATTATCGCTCGCATTCTTCTGTGCGATCGCGACATCTGCTCTGAGTTTAGTTCTCGAACGCAAAGACGGTTTACTCGAGAGAAGTCTTGTTTCGGGTAAATATAAACTCATAACTGATGTGTTTGTTCGTCAATTCAATGTCTTTTTTGAATCAATTATTCATGAAAAGGTGTTCATCCAAACGAATACATATTATCGCATGTATTGACTCAGACAATGGTTGTCATCCTTCAGACCTTCTCAGTATTGATGATAGCGTTTCTAATCTTTGAGATTCCAAATCGTGGCTCAATATTATGGGTATCAGTACTGATAGTAATGCAAGGCGTCTGTGGTATGGCTTACGGAATATTAATCTCCGCCATTACTAAAGAAGAGAACTTCACATTAATTCTATGCATGGGTTCTATGTTTCCACAATTTCTTCTCAGCGGTAAGTTATGAGAGAAAATACAATTGATTTGAAATGATATTAAAAGTTTGATTAACCGATTCAGGTGTGGTTTGGCCCGTGGAGACAATGCCCAAGATATTGATATTTATCAGTACAGTATTCTCTCAGGCAAAGAGTATAGAAGCGGTTCGTTATATGTTGTATAGGGGTTGGGGTTTAGACTATTTCGAGGTGTATTTAGGTTTCATAATATCCGGTTCGTGGACTATAGTATTCCTATGTGTGGCCGCTATTATGTTTAATGTTAACAAATCTCGATAATCTAATCAATACAGTATTACAGTATAGTGTAGTTAATGTTTGTTTGATAGCAAACATATTCAAGTATGGAATCATTTCCTAAACATAAATTTTAATTTAAATAATTAGTACAGTATTTATCAAATATTTTTATCAAATTATATTTTGACTCAATTTTGTGTTCGCCCGCAAATACTTTAATATATAAATTATCACTCAATATATTTACCTTTATTTTGATATGAATTCTCATTTTGAATATTTATTTTATAATTTACATTATGTATAAGTATTCTAAATTAATTTGTTTTGACAAACGTCTAGTTAATTGACTGTTATTTATTGAGTTATAATTGATCGTTACTTTATATACAATTTTTTCTACCATTAAAAATAACTGATAAATATAAATATTATAATAAATGGCTTTATGTCACGGAATCTATAAGCGATTACTTGAAAATTTGATTGCTTTCGCAATAAGTCATAATTTTGACAAATGTTTCTAACATTTAATTTATAATAGAATTTGAAGATTTAGTCAAATTATGTTTTCAACATAAAGTCACTTAATTAAGTACAATGTTATTATCAGGGAATGAAATACTACATAAACGGGAATTTACATTGCATTCAACGACAATAAGAAATATAGCCTTCATGCGTTCATTCAATTATCATTAAATCATCATGTAGTTATCGACAAGTGACCATCGATTTACTGGTGTTTTGATTTGCATTAATACAAACATTATTTAAATGATAGCTTGAAAATATTTCTATACAATACTGATATTAGTGTGCAATTAGTTATTGTATGAATTTCTAGTGAACTCTCGAAAATTGTTTATAGTATTGAGATTCTGTATAGATATGTAAAAATATTAGTTAAATATTTTGAGATAATTAATAATTATAATATTATAATACAAATATTCATAATCTATTGCTACTATTAATGTGTATGAATTATAACATAATTCATAACCAAAATTTGTACACATAATGTGTAACACATTTAATACAATAGTGTCTCAATATTGAGCGAAATAAAGGTGCAAGGATTGTATAATTTCTATTAAGGTTAATAATACAATATTTGATTCTAGTTAAAAGGAACTGGATAAACAAAACAATTCTGTGTTAATTTATTTATAATATTTTAACTTAATTAAAAAAAAGAAAAATTAAATGCATATTTGACAAATGGCTAATCACAACAAAAAATACATATTTCGTATTGTTTTTATAATCAAACATTAAATTTTGAGATTAATTTCATCTTAAAATGTGTTTCAAATATACTAAAATAGTATTGTTTTGTTTTCACTTATTGAACAAAATTTTATAATAATATTTATTCACAAATCGATTGATTAACATAGAAATGGAAAACATGTTTAGTTTTATACAATTTTACTCCAAACAGACTTCTAATGTATTAAAAGGTTTTTACAGATGAATAATATGTTTATTTAAATAATGGTTAAAGACATTCATTGAAAACTAAGAATATCACTGAAACAAAAATAAGTTAATAATAAATTAAACAAATTTATGACATAAGAAACCAAATGTATGATCAAAAAGTAGTGTTTGTGTAGAGTTTATATGTATTGAATGATATTTAAAAAAGTATTAAATTCTTGTATCGATAGTCAAATTTAATGAAATGAGAGCCGCGTTCAGCGATCATAACAGTGACAGCATTTGTATTAGCAGTGGGTATCACTGGAATCACTGAAGCGTCTATTACTCTAAGATTGTTTACTCCCATCACTTTAAGCCGGGAATCGACCACTTTATTCCTGTCCTCATCGGAACCCATACGACACGTTCCCACGTAATCACCTGTACTTACTGTCAGAGATCTGGCCATACATTGAAGGTATGGATCGGTAAAGAAGGTAGTATTTAAAGTATCCTTTGCTTCGAGAGATTGATTATTCATAAGATATGGTTCACATCCGGGCACTAATGTTACAAAAGGGATGGGCATTAAGCTCTGCAGGGGTCGAGAGTTTGCAATTTTAAGCGTCTCTTTCATGCCTTCCATTAAGACTAATATATCGCTCGATTCCGTCAAATAGTTTGGATTAATTAAGGGCTGATCGGAAGGGTTTGGGCTATTGAGTCGAACCCAACCTCTGCTTTTGGGCCTCAACAGTATGGGCCAAACAGTAAATTGAGCAAGGCCAGAATACGGCCCATAGAACTGAGTCCACACTTCTTTCTTGAAACCATTTCGTTGTTCAGTAGTTTCTCCGCTATTTTCTCTGCCCGGACTCGTCGTCGATGTCATTAACATAATATCCGGCCATTCAGTGCTTATATTAGTATATTTAGACTGCAATAAAGTTGCGGCGAATCTGCTTTGACTTAACGGCCCTTTGCCTAAACAGCGAATCAATTAAGTAATTGTGTAAACAGTGTTATTAATTTGATTTATACCAGAATTAAAGTATTGATTAAGACTTTGAACAGTTAGCGGCTCTTCGATTGTTGTGTTAACAGTGAAGTGGAGTCCATAAGTGCCGATGTGGTCGTGAAAGTTATTGCCAACCGGTAAATCAGAAATGACAGGAATATTGAGTTCTTCCAAATGATCTTTGGGTCCGATTCCCGAAAGCATCAAAAGTTTGGCGGAGTTTATCGTTCCGGTGGAGAGTATAACCTCTTGTTTGGCATAAACAGCAAAATTATGCCAATTTCTTATAAAATTCACGCCAATCGCTGTGTTGTTTTCAAACAATATTTGTGTGACTAAAGCATTGGCCAGAATATGCAGATTCGGACGCTCTATGTTTGGCTCCAAATAAGCGGTGGCCGTCGACACACGTCTTCCCTCATTGGTGTTGGTTTGGAGTACAGAAGCGCCCAAATAGTCGGCGTTTAAATCACTTATTTTATGACCGCATAAATGAGATGAGAAGATCCACGACTGAAGCAATTGATTGTATTCGTGATTATTGTTTATAACTAAAGGCCCGTTAACTCCGTAATAACCACTTTTGGACAGTTGGGCATCGCTTTGATTTTCAGCTCTAATGAAAAAGGGGAATACATCTCTCCACGACCAGCCCTTTACACCTTTAATATATAATTTGTATAACATGACACATTACATACACAACATTACATTATAAGTCGTTCATAAGTACCCAATTTCTCCCAATTATCAAAATCAAGTGGATTTCCTCTCAAATAAGTCATACGATTGATAGCAGATGTGCCGCCAATGACACGACCGCTCGACAGAACACACATCTGACCATTCATTGAAAGACAGGACTGGTTTTGAGGCGTCGACATAAACTTCCAGTCCATTACAGTATTGAGTAAAGAGTCGCTCAAAGCGGGAGTATTGGAGACCACTGTTTCTGAACCGCCGGCCTCTATCAACAACACACTAACCTTCGGGTCTTCGCTGAGTCTGGCGGCCACTACAGAGCCGGCAGTTCCCGCGCCGATCACTATGTAATCATAAAATGTTTTCCATTCATTTCGAGCCGATATCTTATCATAAGATTTTTGTCTGTAATAAATGATTGACGAATACGTGAAGATTGAAAAGAAAAAAGTTCGGACTTCACTTAACCGCATGTTTTTTGTATAAGAATTTACAATTGAATGGTAAAAATAGCAACATTTATGTATTAAAATCAAGTTTGAGGTGAAATATCAATCGTAAAAGTTGTTAATCAAGTATTGCATTAAATTACAAGTAGTCTTACAAGACTTCCTTATTATAATTTAATAGACAACTTGTCGTCAAAATACCATCGAATAAGTGCTTGAAAGGATTTATTAAGTTTTTAAAATAACTTATTTATTTTAAAAAAGAGACAGATTAAGTGCTAAATAAAACTTTTCATTATATTGAAAATTAGGAAAATATAATAGCAATTGATTATAAGTTATAATACAGTTTAGAAAATGATAATATTGTGTATTAGTTATAAAACCAAGAAAATAATAGTTTAATGAGTTTTAGTTCAATAAATAAAAAATTGTTGAACAAAACATAGAAAGAGTTGATTACAATTTATATAAGTTTTGATTTGAATTAAAGTAAATGCTAGCAAATGATAGACATCGACAAAACGGTTTAGATCTCGATTGTACTGATGTTATAGACCTCGACGTCATCGTTATCATCGATGATCGTTTGGCCCATCATTTCCGGATGACATTTCTGTTGGTGTCGGTTCACATGCGATGACTTCACAAACCGCTTCGTACAGCCGTTGTAACCGCACTCGAAGTTCTTCTCTCCCGTATGAGTCTACAAATGGGTAATCAAATTCAAGTCATCAAAAAAGTCCTATGCATTGAATGCAATCTTAAATAACCTTTTTATGATTAGTGACATAACTCATGGAAACGGCTTTATATGTACAGTTGGGCCAATCGCACACAAACGGCTTGATGTCCGCGTGAGCCATCATATGCTTACGTAAATGACACGACTGTTCAATAATTGGCGTGTTTTTGGAGACAAAATAAGATTGGTTAACAAATTATAACACCACTGGAAATATACCTGTAGGAATTTCTTGTTGCACCCTGGCCATTCACATGTGAACGCCTTCACGCCCTCGTGCACTGCCTTCTTGTGATCAGTGAGAGCGCCCTTAAGCCGGAACTTCCACTCACATCCCGGCCAATCACACCTATGTTTGTGTTGTTTATAACAATTCATTACACACTGTCTTTAAGTTAAGCATTAAGTTAGTGAAAATCACGTACACATAAGGCTTCTCTCCCGTATGTGTCCTCATATGAGATTTGAGACCAGGTTTTTGGCTATAAATATAAATAAACTCATTCAGTATAAAAATACAGTAATTGTAATCATATAGTAATTATACCTAAACGACTGTTCACAACCTGGCCAATTACATCTATTGGTGTAATTCAAATATATTTAATAACCTATAGTATGGCAATAGTCAATACAATCACTTACGCATACGGTTTCTCTCCGGTATGGCTTCGCAAATGTAATTTCAATTGCTATTCAAAAACAATAGATTAATAAATAAAATGAGAGTTAATTTGTATGATAATTACCTGTGACTGAGGGAAACGCATCTCACAAGAGGGCCAATTGCACCTAAACATCAAATTATACGTAAATCAATGTTAAATCGAGTACTGAATAATTTAAAAATAGTCATGTGGTAAATGACATACCGATATGGTTTCTCTCCGGTATGCAATTTCTTGTGATCCCATAGATTGGACCGATATTTGGCCACATATTCGCAACCCTCGAAAGGACAGGGATAACGACGCGTAGCATTCTTTAGCTAATGACATACCGATATGGTTTCTCTCCGGTATGCAATTTCTTGTGATCCCATAGATTGGACCGATATTTGGCCACATATTCGCAACCCTCGAAAGGACAGGGATAACGACGCGTAGCATTCTTTAGCTGAGGGGTCAGCACTTGTCTTAACTCATACTTCTTGGGTCGGCCTCTCTTTGGGGGCAATTCAATGGCCGAGGCGTCGGGTCTAACGATCTTTAGCTCCAAATTGTTGGGCAATTCCCTCTTAATTCTGTTGCGGGTTTGAATGGATCTCTCGGTTTCAATCATCTTTACTTTACTTTTATTAACTCTGTTTGGGTTTCGCTGTTGTTTGATAACAATTGTGGTCTTCTTATTGTCCTCACTCTTCTCCTCGTCTTCGTTCTCCTCATTCGTGTCATTGAGTTCTTGTGTGTCATTCGCCTCAACGTTCTCTTCGCCTTCAATTACACTGTCGTCAACGAGTTCTTCATTCATTTGTTCCTCATTTGACTCGTTCTGAAGGCCTTCCGATTGTTCGTCATTCAAATCCGACTCTTTTTTCATACTTTTATCCAATGTATTGCTGTGTCTGAAGATGTCATTCAATTAAATATAGATAACATTTAGTATTAAACCAGAAAAATAGTTGTCATGAACTAAACTCGTGGAAAATGTAAACCAAATGACAACTTAATACATAAATAAAATCTCATTTAAGTAAATCTCGTAATACACTAGTCTGTAGTTACAATCGTAAAGTAACCATTAATTATCGCATGTTATTATTCACTATAATTTCAATCAAAACTTATTAAAAACTCATAAAAAATCATTTATGACATATTACGAGGTGTTTCCCTCTCTAAGCCTTTAAACACAATTTGGACATTAATTGTCAAATTAATTAATTTGTAATAATAATGACAATTAAATATAAATCACAACAAAATGAGATGATTAGTGAAGTACTTAAAAGTTAAGAAAAAGCTTTACAAATAAAAGCTTGTAATGCATAAGATATGAAGGCTTACGACCCAAAGCCTAACCGCAAAAGCCGTAACGTATTTAAGGTATGAATCACTGGCTTTGGTTACCTCTTGAGGAAATGTGTCTTCACTTTATCAATGGTGTCGAACCTCTTGGAGCAGAAGCGACACGAATACATCGTTA